CGCTACATGATAAATCCTGATATCTCTCAATGCGAAAACATCAATCAGGTGTATTTAATAATCCTCATAGGAAAAACACCACATACTGGTGGGACACAGAAGTGTTGCTCAGCTTGCGTTGACTTTCCTGGAGCAATTGTAAAACCAGCTCTTCACCAGCTTTTCTGAAGTGTTTGTGTTGATGTGTTCTATGTTTATTAGGCTTAATCCTTCATAACAGCTCAGAACAGTACGAGCATTGTGGATTTTAAAACATTATTTGTTGAAGGAAAACCTGCTGGCTTACCCCCAAAACTAGTACTTTCAGTATAGTGTTTATGAAAGTATATATACAGCTACCCTCCAAAGATTGATTGGCTAAGCTAAATTGTCCATTTCTTGAGTAGCAGGTTTGAAACCCCTTTCTAATTAACCTATGCTATCTGGATATGATCTACAATTGTACAATCTGCTACAATTCTGACTCCAACTTATTTAGTGTGAGCTTCAGGTGAATAAGATTGTTACTTTCATATTCATAACTATTTACGTTTTTTACTGTATTATATAGAGTATTAAGCAGGAAGGAAAAACAAAAAGAATTTAGAATGATATTTTATAGTGTATTTATTATTAAATATCATGCTTTTTCCAAGAAATATATTGAAAAAATGTTGTACCTTTACCAAGCAGAAATCTATCTAAATACTAAACTACAAAACAAATTTGACAAAATTGAGGCTTTTCTAAAGTAGAGTTTTTTCTTAAAGTAGGTACTTTGGTACAATGTGTTTTGTTCCAGATTCTCTTGCACTTAAGACAGAAAAGCTCAATGTGAATGTTTCTGCTTTTGACCTGCAGCCTTGTGACCTTATAGGGGATCTTTCTTTGATGTCTTTTAAAATTGCTCTCAGTACAGCATGGGATTTCGTAAGCAGATGTATTTTACCCTCTGGAACATCAAAGCAGGTCTGAAATGCACAAGATGAAATTAGGATAAAGGAGCTATGGAGCAAAATCCAGGAAAAAAAACAATGTAGCTGAACCCGTTGCTAAAGCTTTTTTCATCCTCTCTTCTGTTCCCTGGTGTCCTGACTGCATGGAACAAGGTGGCCGACGATCCTGAAAAGGCCCCCTCGATCTGGAAGTCAATGTACCGGGCGTTCGGACGGCCCATCCTCCTCAGCAGCACCTTCCGCTACCTCGCTGACCTGCTGGGCTTCGCCGGGCCGCTGTGCATCTCCGGCATCGTCATGCGGCTGGAGAATGAGAGGAACTCAACTAAGAGCGAGCAGAACAACGTGAGTTCGCAGGGGTAGTGTCACGATTGTAGTCCCTCCCCTTTAAGGGCGCTCCGGCACTTTTACTTCTGAGTTGATTTTGTGCACCTGCCTCCTATTCAGCCCACCTTAAAAGCCAGAAGCTCACTCTGTTCCGGGCTCTGCATTGGTCCCGAGTTCGGGACCTGTAGCGTCTGGTTCCGTTCCCCCTGTTTTCCTCCCTCATCCCCGGATTGTGTCGTCTGCATAGGGTCCCGAAAGAACGCTTTGTTACAGGTAGCACAGGGTCTGTGCTTTGTTCCTGGAGCTGCTTTCAACTTTTTAATAGTTAAGCAACACAAGCAATTAATATCAACCTGTACCTGGGTTTTTAGATGTCCCTTCATTCAGGGGTCTGGAACGAAAGCAGTTATACTTCTGTGACGCAAAGGGTCTTATGTCAGGAAATCATTAAGTAAACATTGGTTGTTCAGAGGGAGCAGCTACTTCGGTAAAATGGGACGAGGAGAGTTCATTTGCTAAATTTCTTAGCAAAGTATTTTTGAAATTCTTTAATAAGGAACTTTTGAAACTAGAGTCTGAGAGCAAGATGCTGGTTTAAAAACCTAATAAAGCTATATAAAGGTTATATAGATACTGTAGGTGGGTGACCCAATAGAGTTACTTAGCACTAGGGTCAGGATCCATTGTCTAGCATGGCTAAACTGCTGAAATGTTGCCTAGGATGTACAAAGATTTTATAAAACAAGCTTTAGTGTAAATGTGTAGATAATAAAACAAAGGTAAAAGTAACAGTATGATCATGGTAAAAGTAACAGCAATGATAAATCACAGAAGATTGTTATGAAGCAGTGTAAATGTATGCAGTCAAACACCAGATTAAAATTCCTACCTTGTTCTCTAGCCTCAGTGCCCTGTTTAAGTCTTTGGACTACATTATTGTTCTAGGTGTTCTTTTTTCATGTCATTTCAGGTCATCTTGCTCTGTGTTCTCTCTTTATAAAAAAAACGAAGTGCAACAATGTTTTAATCAGAAACTCCCTTGGCATTGACAACTGGTATTTCTAAACTGTTTGATTTAGATGATTATATATCAAGTAATTTTCTTCTTGTGTTTATCATAACTTAGCTCACACTTGCTGAAGAGAGCTATTTTAGCTCAGCTTATCTTTTGTATCATATAACACTTCTTCAGGTGACATATGCCTGGAAGCTTCAGTATTTCAAGGCTTGTAAGGACGTGGAGTGTTGCTATGTAATCTGCATATAAACTATCTCTATCTCTGAACCTGTGTTGTATAAAGAGTAGTTCTCAGTCTTGGTCCTGGGTGACCACTGTGTCTGCTGGTTTTCATTCCTCCTCAACCATCTGGACACAGACTGGGATGACCTATCAGTCGCTCCCGCAATGACATTTTTTTCCTTCTGGGTAAATACAATTGGTTACATCCCAGGAAACACACCTGCATGATGGCAATTTTGAAACTCCAGAATTGTCACAGGGCTAAAAGCAATTACAAAACCCATTCACCTTTATTAGAGATGGAAGAAAATTGAACAACACACTCACAAACAGGAAATTGAAAATAATTTGTCCGATAAGGACAAGTAAATACCAGAAGAGACATACCAGATTTCACAACCACTGGCCTAAAGGGTCTTGTTTCTTCCCTTTTGAGTTCTCAGATACTGTATGTATCTGACCTACAGTGATTACTGACCTCTAAGAATATAAGAACTGTTACAAAAACAGACTAGGCCATATAGCTGATCTGTCTAGTTTTGTTGCTGGAGAGATCAGGAAAGCCCAAGACAACATGAAGAACAAACTGAAAGCAAAATTACACATTCATTTTAGCTGCTTATGCCTTAATGCTAAAAGTTTGAGGAGTGCAATGCAAGACCTCAAGGCTATACATATAGAGGTAGCTTTGACATTATAAGAATAACCAAATCGCAGGTACAGAATGATGATGGGGACTGTTGTGTTTGATCAATTAGAGAGACATTAGGGCTTTGAATAGTTAATCCAAGGTATTGTGTGTTCCAAGTCTCTACTCACTGAGCATTTTAATCGATCATAATTAAAATCTGCATAGCAGTAGTTTTCTAGAGCACGAGTAATAGACATTTGAGTTAACTTACCTTTTTATCACGTTATGGGTGTTTATTTTGAATTAAGGAGTCATTTGTTACCTGTTTCTAAAATTTATCCACAATAAATGTGACTCAAGTCCCAGTGAAAAGAGCCAGAGTGGGTCTTTACAGTATGTCTTCACTCAAAACCTTCAGCACAATAGATACATTAATAATTAGCCAGAGTCAACCAGGGATCTGTTTCACATTCACTAGGAAAACTAGTACAGGGTCACAAGTGGAAACTAAAATAAAATACATTTAAGATGGAGGGAAGAAAACATTTTTCACAGTGCTGCAGATATCTTTCCAGCCAGCTGGTTGAAGCCCCAAATCCAAACTCTCTCAGGACATATCTGTATAAAATTTTAGATTTGCTTAGCTGCTAAACTGCCGAATAAGCAACATGAGCCAAATGGCTCTGATTCGCAAACTTTTAAAGTTTTTTTTAAATTTATATTTCATTCCATTTAGAAAAAGAAAGTTTTGGAAAGTTCGTATTAAACTCTGTGTGAATGTAGCCCACAATCACTGCTCCTTCATCAGTGTCATTTGGATTTTTTTGATGTCGATGCTGAATGTCACGAATTAAGAATTCAAGTTCACTCAAGGCTCCTCTGAAGGATGTAAATGTAATCTATAGAGAATGCAAGAACCGTACACTCGAGAGCAGCAACAAACTCTAAGATCTCAAGTTAAAAGGGTGACTGGTCTCTTCCTGTGCCTCCTGTGAAAGACAGTAGGAGAGGGTAAACTCAGTAAAACGCTGGGCCAGAACAGGCTTGCATAGCTTTGTGACATGGAAAATTCTCGACTCACGTCACACTCTCTCAGCTTTTTGTGATGGCACAAGTGTAAGTTTAAGACTTGAGCCACCCTGGAAAATGTCAATGACTGTTTCCTAATGTCCTACAGTCTCACCAGTAGTAACCAAACTTTTCAAACACCTGTGGGGGATTCTGCAAGTGCACAAATTCGACAAACAACAAAAAAGAATCAGGCAGAAAGCTCGAAAAATCGAAATCTGTTTTCTTTTCTTTGAAGAATCATATACAGTACCAGTATAATGTAGGAAACATTACATAAGATTTTTTTGTGATTCTGTATCCTTCATGAATCTGGTTTATGAAGGAGTCATGCTAGCATGTTGATCACCTGCAGTCTGTGTTGCTCTTTTCTAGGCTTGGTTTTTTGGAGTTTACTTCCTGTCATCAAATGAGCTACTACAGAACACCTATGTCCTGGCAGTTCTACTGTTTCTGGCCCTGGTGCTGCAGAGGACATTTTTACAGGCTTCGTATTATGTTACCATAGAAACTGGCATCAACCTCAGAGGGGCATTACTGGTAAGTATGAAATCCCCTTTACTCCCAGTGGGTATGTGTTTGCACCCCCCTTCTGTTCTTATTCTGTTCCTGCTTTTTTTCTAAAGGCAAGAATGTTTTTTTTCTGTGAATACTTTGCTATCCAGGATTTTTCCAGCAAAGGTCAAATACAACTACATTTTACAACTGTGAGAATATGTCTATTTGTCTTTGGACAGGAACGTGAGATACTCTGGTTTGCTTATCAGGCATTGCCATCAAAACTATCCTAAAATGAATTAGATGTTCAAATCTAACACAAAGGCTACATCAATTGTTTACATGTACTTTATTTTTCTGATCTGTTATGCAATAAATCTTTATAAATAACTAACCTAGCTGGAAAAATACAGATTTGATTAGTTACTGCTTGTTTTAGCTCTACACATTTTAAGTTCACATTGTCTGGCTGTAGCTTCAAGTATTTTCAAGTGAGAGCCGTTCCTAATAAATTATGTTTTCACAAAATAACAAAATTAGTGCTCATGTATTTCCTGTGTTTCTTTTCTGAAATAAACCAACAGCTCATCCAGTCATGAGGAGCAAGTCCAGAGCTATACAAAAGATTCATTACACCCTTAAAATTGTCTCAGAATGTCTTCTTTGCCAGCTGTACCTGGAAAAGTCAGTGCTGTTTCAAATGTTGAAATGCTATGACGACCTAGTAGCTAAAACATAATTGTTTGAATGAATAGATATCCTGGCATGTTTTTAATCTGTGTGCATTCCTTTGTGCTACACTATTTTCAGAAATGGAAAGGCTAACAGTACAGGCTAAACATTAAACAAAACATTCAACAAACAAAAACTAGTGTGGGACTAACAAAGGCAAAATCATTCGTTCGCTTTGTAGACAAAGATAATCCTTTTTGTCTCATCCTTAAAACTTAGAGTAATATCTGGATATATTTCAGGTGTAGCTTAAATATTATTGTTGTGACTGATAAATTAACTCAGAGTTCTGGTCCTGGAGAGCCAGTTGGACGTACAGTAGAATAGTTAATTCAACAATAGTGTGTTCCAGGTCTCCACTCAATATGCATTTTGATCTGTAGTTAAAATCAACATATTTGTAGTTTTCCAGAGCAGGAGTAACAGATCCTTGCAATTACTTACCCTTCTAGCATATCACATTATGTACTGTATGTTTGTTTTAAGTTAGATGCAGTCTCTAACCTCTTTCAAGCCTTCTCGTCATCTCATAACATTAGTCTAAAGTAAATATGATACAAGATGCAGTGAAATATTACAAGCCATGGTGGGACTTTGTGTCTTGGCTCCACATTTCTAATTGCAAGAAAACTGGATAAAACAAATAAACTAGGAAGTTCATGTAACACATAATTTACAGTGCATTCCGTGAAGGAAAGTTTTGAAAGTGACTTGTGAAAGATTTTGCTGTTGGTGCTTTCCCTGAGCCCCGAGCTTCTCTTTCTTTGACTTCCTCGCAGGCCATGATTTATAACAAGATCCTGCGCCTCTCCACCTCCAACATGTCCATGGGAGAGATGACCCTGGGGCAGATAAACAATCTGGTGGCTATAGAGACCAATCAGCTGATGTGGTTTCTGTTCCTGTGCCCAAACCTCTGGGCAATGCCTGTGCAGGTAACAAGATTATGGGCCCCCCTACTCCCCAGCAGCCCATTGGATCTCAATAGACAGACAGCATTCACACAGAGATTGCACGGTCTGTTACAAAAGCATTAAGGATAAATGGCAAATGAGGATCTAATAGTGAGCGCTCATTCAGTTCCTATTGCAAGAGGGCATTAAGAAGACAGGTATTTATCCCACATGAAAGCAGGCACTGCAGGAAAGCTCTACAGTAGCAGTGAGACGTTGTTTCAGCTGCCATTTCAAACGGAGTTTGGCAAGTAGCAATTGCCTTTTTTGTTGTTTGCCCTTAGAAGTGGCTTCTTCCTGGCAAGACCCGTCATGTTCAGCTGGTACCCTTCTATCACTGTATCCCCCCCTTGTTTAAGAAAACCTTGATGGTCTTTATGATGGATTAGATTTGGCTGAAAATTCAATATTTATCTGAGGGAAATTTCTGAGACAGATGCATTTACTCTGGAGTAGAGTTAAATCCCTTTGATTACACACAGACAGTAGTGACAGTCACACTACTTTTATAACTTTACATCAGACCTCATCTGGGTTGCTGTAGCTAAGGGGCTGAATTGAATTCTTTATGCAATTGAAAACCTTTTGAATTTCATTAAAAAATCCAATTATTTGCTAACTATGACCATTTTTAGCTTTAGCAGTTTGCAGTGTAGATTCCAAATCTAAAGTCTTACTGTATACGAATGTGTCATGATTGCAAACACAGATGTCCAGAAAATGTGGACACTATGCAGGATGCTGAATAACTTTGCTGGGCACTGTATATTTACATATATGAAGACATAAATAGCACATGAAAAATTAAATGTACTGGCAATTTATTGCAAATTACTTTAAATGAAATAAACTTAATTATTTTAATTTTATCTGCAAGTGCAGGTTATTGCCTTTTCTTTGACATGCAACATCTGAAAGGAAAGCACTAATGTAGCTGTTAGTGAGCTGTTAATGTGTTCTCTACAGATCATCATGGGAGTGATCCTCCTGTATTACCTGCTAGGTGTCAGTGCTTTAATAGGAGCCTCGGTCATCGTGCTTCTTGCCCCAGTGCAATACTTCATAGCCACCAAGCTTGCCGATGCCCAGAAAAGCTCACTGGTAAGTATGCATTTGAAGAGTATCTTGCGTCTATGATCATAGATGTTGGCGAAAGGCATGGGTTTTCATTAGATCAGGATATTAGAAGCACGCCTTTTTCTTTGGAAGACACTATACAGCATCAAACAAGGCGAAGAGTGTTCAGTGCCTGCTAAATCAAACATTGTTCTAAAGTTGCTATATAACCCCAAAAATCCCTTTTCTTGCACATCTGGATGTACATTAACTTTTAAACGTGGAAAGAAGAAGAAGGAAGTGTTATTGTTTTTGCCATGTAATGCAGAGTATTTTCGAAACTTTGTACTTTATCATGATGTCTCATATTGGCTTCTGTCCCAGGATTATTCCACAGACAGACTAAAGAAGACCAATGAGATATTGAAGGGGATTAAGCTGCTAAAACTCTATGCCTGGGAGAACATCTTCTGTGCCAGTGTAGAAGAGACCAGGAGAAAGGAGCTCATCAGCCTGAAAACCTTTGCCCTCTACACCTCCATGTCTAGTAAGAATAAGAGAACCCCAAAGGATTAAAAGCAATTTTTGTACCATCAATAATGCTGTCACTGTGGACAGACTTCACTAGCAGGGTGGTCTGTGGCTGTAAGAACACATTGAGGTGTCGCATCTGCACCCTCCTCAGAGCTTCTCCAGTTAGAGTCATGAGGAGTTCATAGAACAACAGTTCATCAAGCCTTTTAGTGCACCCAGTTTGCAATATGCATTTTAAAATTCTGTTTACTGGAACTCCACTCTTAATGCAGAATTGGCTTTTACAACTGTAGGCACATGTATTACCCCCAGAGTTTGGGTGAAAACAACAGCAAACATCTTATACAGATGTCAGGCAAATCTTAAGGCATATGAGAAAAATGCCAATTAAATAAATGGCTCTGGATTCCATCCTTATATAATTTGTTTGATCATTATACAGTACATTTTAAGCACTGGATTAGTTTGGTGTTGTTAAAGAAAAACATAAAACTGAAATCTAAAATTTGATCATTGACATTGATACATATTGCCAATTGATACACATCCCACTGAGCTACAGCAAAAATGAAAATGTTTACAAAAATACAAGAGTGGTTCATAAGCAGTGAGTGTGAGATATATTGGAAATTGGCAAAAACGTAAAAGTACAGTAAAATAGTAAAGTAGGAAAAGTGTATTTGCTGAGCTCTTTGCAGGCTCAGTCCTTCACAACAGAACACCTTATGTGTCATAGTCACCACCAACACCACACAGAGCATCAGTCTAAACAACAGAGAATGTTCTCCAAATAAGGTTTCCACAATGACCTCTGTTGCGTTTGTCAAATAAATATAAAAATGTTTATAAAACAGATTTGTTTGGCACATTTTTGGGAATAAGTGCATCATTCCATGTTATTTTGTGAGGTATGAATATCACTCCTGCTGAGATATCAGTTAACAGCTGAATGGTTTGATAAACATGCACTTTTCCATGACAAATGTAAATAACTTTTGATCTCCTTTTTTACAGTTTTCATGAATACCGCTATCCCTATTGCAGCAGTACTAGCGGTAAGCAGATGTACAGTATATGTTATACTTTATAACTATGTATACCTTCCAGATGAGCCCATTAAAAATTGACTTTTTATATAAGCACTCCATTATTTTACTTGTTTATTGGTAGCTATTTTTATTGTTCCTCTCTCTTTTTATTGTTATTTCCATTATGAATCTTCTATAGGCCAGGAGATGTTGAAGTTGGAAGTTTCAGTCTGCCTTGTGAAAGAATAAATTCTTATTTCCCTTTGTGTTCCATGCATCAGACAAAAAATCAGGAAACCATTCCACATCTTACCAAAGTTTTACATGGAACACTCTGACCAAAAATAAACTGGAACCACAATCTTTTTAAATGTTTAAAATTTTTACACCTAACCAATGTGGAATGACCTATTATTTCTTTATGTTGTGGCTCACAGTTATATCTCCTTCTTGTACTGGACAGCATCTACATCAGGCCCCACATAGTGGAATAGAGAAGCCTGTGCTTCCTGATACTGCTGCGATTGTGGCTGTTCTGATCGGAGCTTAGATCTGCCGCAAATGTGTATCATCTCAGCACCAAGTTTGCTGATTTGAATGTGGCCCAGCTCTGATCCTCATTATTTTAGTTGAAATCTTCAACTTCATGCAGCGCATTTTGGAGGTAGCTGGTGCTGGAGGTAAAGCAGAGTCTTCTCCTTCTGCCTCACAGACCTTTGTGGCCCATGCCTACATCAGCAACACTAAACTGAGCCCAGCAGATGCCTTTGCTTCCCTGGCCCTGTTCCACATCCTGGTCACTCCACTTTTCCTGCTGTCCACGGTGGTCCGGTTCGCGGTCAAGGCTATTATCAGGTGAGGAGACGACCAGGCCTGCACTAGTAGTGCCAAATAGAAAAGAGTGACAGTCATGTGGACGTCATGGATCTGGGCTTCTTCTGCTGGAAAATGCTGGAAACTGCCCATTTAATTAAATTTCTTATGGAGAAGTTGGTTCACCCACAGTGGAAAGTGATTGGTGATCAGATTAAATTAAAGTATGAGTGTCTTATACCTTTGGCACAAAACTTATCCCAGTGCCCATGACTGTAGCAAACTGAGAGCGCAAACGCCTGCCGGTCACTGCTATGATGGGAGATATGCCCCTGCTGATTTCTCTCCCAGCCACAGTTGGTGCACTGTTTTTGTCACGATCGCTAACCCCTCCTCTTAAGGGAGCTCCAGCCCTTCCTCGTTCCTTCCCATTGTCTGCATTGTCCCTATTCCCGGTCCCCCTTAAAAGCCAGACGCTGACCTCACTCCTGGCTTCTCATTGATTTCCGTGTCGTGAGAGCCCGGGGTCCTGCTGCGTCAGGCTCCGTTATGGTTTTAGTTTCCTGGTCCTGATTCCCTGCCCCGCCGGTCCCGACCCGGTTCTGGTTTTAACTACGGATGGATCCCCTGGTCTTGGACTTAACCTCTCGTCTTGGATTCCTCCTCTGGATTTACCCTTGGATTGTTCGCCCTGGATTCACTCCCCCCGGACACTAGCACTGCATGGACACGCCCCCCTGTCTCCTGACCGACTCCTGCATGATATTTTTCCCCTTGTGTCTTCACTATTCTGGATTGCGTCGTCTGCATAGGGCCCGGAAAGAACTGATCGTGACAGTTTTATGATTTGCTTGACTGGAATTGTGATGAATTACCCTGCTTCAAAATACAACCAGAGTATTGGTTCTGCATTGGGAATTTGAAAAACACATCTTGAATTAGGGGTGAAAAAACTTTCATCTCTACCTCACACTGACTCTTTAAAGCAGGGGGTCTCCCACTGAAGGCTTTTTATAGTGGGGTTTGCCCTCAGATCGATATCTGACTGAAAGGCGTTACAAGGGATGATTAGGCTGCCCCAATCCATGTTTGGAGTAGAGCTCCCCTATATTGTGTACATTTTTATAAGTCACTGTCTCAGGAAGTCCAGGAAGGATCCTGGTTTCTTACTTTTCTCCCCCCTGCCTTCTAGTAAGCATTATAGGAGCATAAAGGCATGTATGCTCCACATTTGGAGACTGAGTTCTGCCACTGACTACCACTGATTACTACTGACCACTACCACTGACTCACACACATATTTTTTTGCAAACTGCTTGTGCTGAGTTTATTTAAGTTGAGTGTTATTTAACTTTCTTGTTGTTGTTGCTGCTGTTGTTCTGTATTTAAGTTGGGTGTGTCCTTAATTATTTTGTATTGGAGCATTCATGCAAATAAGCATTTCATTGCACTGGACATGCTATTGTGAGGTTGAACATTGTTGACAATGCATGTGTGGCTCCACTGCTCTGTGTTTCTTCTGTGATCAACCTGATCCTTGTGGAACACTGCTCCATCTGTCCAAGTTGCATTGGTCCTTTGTGAATGCATGCTCAATGCCTCTGTCTGTGTTTCAGTGTACAGAAACTGGGTGAGTTTCTCCAAAGCGATGAGATTGGTGATGACAGCTGGAGAACTGGAGACACGTCTGTGTCATTAGAGTCATGTAAGAAACACCCTGGAGTGGTGAGTACACCAACCCCAGTCCTGCAAGTTCCCCAGATAGTAAGATAATACTGATACCAAAGATAATTCATGGCACAAATGACTGTAAATGCTATTGAACAAGAGTCTACAGTCACACTGTGGCTTAACTTGGATTCAGTTATAAAAGGCAGCAACAATAAAAAAAAACTATCAAATGTGGTTATTAATTATTCTCAGTTTGTTAAAGCACACTAAGTGTACATACACCAGCTAAACAAGTTAGCAGTACACTTATATTTAGCAACTGCACTATCTTTTAAAATTGTTACTATAATAAGCTGGTCCCTGCAGTGCTCTGAACTGGAAAGTACTGCTCACTAGTAGAAGCCAGTTGAACTTTTTCTGCTAGTAATTTCACTAGTTTTCAGTGCAGTATAAGCACAGTGGAGCCTCTGCTACCCTTACAGGAAAAAAACTCGCTCTCCATCTCTGACTGGTACTCTACCTCATCCACTATGTTCTTCCAAAAACAAAAACAATATCCATGTTGTTGCCACAAAACCCTCACTATCTGATTGGAAAGGTGGTCCAAGTTTAGTTTTTTAAGCATGGTGTTAGTGCCCTCACTTCAGCAATGAATAAAGGCCACAGTTAATACAGCTCATTAATATGTTTGCTGCAGAGTGTGTACACTTCCCTTGAGTCTGATTTTCTTTGCACAGCTATCAGACAAGCATGCCAACAACAGAGAAAAACCAAACCACATACTATTCACTTCTTTTAAAATGTACTTATCTTGTTTTTTTCACAAAGCTCTAAGAGTGTTCCTGAAGCTGAATAAATACTATAAATCAACTAATTGTTGACCAGAATTGGCTGAACCATTCATTCTTTAATTCGTTATGTGCCTTATGGGAACATTCTATATTTTAAAGAAGTGTTATCTGGATGAAAGTCTTGCCAAAGAACCCCAAATTAGCTACTGCCAAATTAGATAAAAATAACACTTCTGTAATACTGAATGTCATCTATAGCACATACAGCCTGTTGTATTTTTTTTTTTACTGTTTTCTGTTGCACGGCCTTACTGTCTGTGTTATGCCTTATGTATTTAGAGATTTAAAGACAAAAGCATTAATGTTGAGTTTTATAGATGTTGTCTTCAGGCAGATATTTTGCATGACCTCGTGTCACATGTTTTTAATAGCTCTACTCTCCGGCCTGGAGTACCATATTTCAGTCTCAGCTACAAATAATTATTATGACCTTTTAACGGACAAGCTAAAAATCGTAGCCTAGTTCAAAGCAAAAATGAGGCAAGACCACTAATTATATAAATTATATGTCATTTCTCATGCATTACTCATTTTCCAAGAAAATCAGTTCATTTCTGATTCATTCTTGTACCATATTGTGGTATTTTCTAATTGCTATCTACAGTACACAGGGACTAAAAGCACAGATTAAATACTGTCATGTTGTCCTTTCAGATGTTTTTATCCTTAAAGTTTTATCCTTAAAATTTGAAGCCCCCAGTCTTTTTCCACCATGACTACTGTCATGCTTGTAGGAAAGGTTCAAAACTGCCCTATAGTAACATTTGTCCTTTGCAAGATACTGATTTTTCCTGATGTAAGAGTGCTCATATTGTGTGCTTTATTTGTTTGCCTCCTTCTTTTTAGCTTTATGTAGATGTGTTAGCAGGGCGCTTGTCCTGAGGTAGCCTGTCCTTTGCACAAAGCTAATATGGGGATCTGTTCTCAGGCCCTGCTGTTGTAAACACTGGGGTCAGAGGGCTCAGGGAAACCCTAACACTCTCACGTGCTCTCTCCTCCTTGATATTCAACAGACCAAGGCCATAAACAGGAAGCAACCGCTGAGGTATCAACTGGAGAGCTATGATCAGCCGGTGCGAAGACAACTGCGGCCCACCGAGACCGAAGATATAGCGGTCAAGGTCAGGAGGTCGTCGTGACAACAAACTCAGCAGCCGCATTTCTCAGGCTCTCTGGCGCTCCAGCTAGACAGCTTGGAGATTTCTGCTGCGATGTCTGTATCCAGATTTCATTAAGAAATCCTTGTGAATGGGGCTTCAGATGATAGCTGGGTCTGCTCAAGCTTGCTACTGCTTACCCATAAGTTTTCAGCTGCCCTGTTTTAATTCACTTACCTTTCCTTCTCATTTTTTTACATCATTTCCACTTGGTGAGTTATTTTCAGAACTGACTTTCCCCATTTAGCCTAAAACTGTTTCTATTTGAAACAAATACCTCATATATACAAAAAGCAAGCAAGGGGGGAAGAATGTTTACATACCCCATAATGCTCAGACACTAATAATGTTGTCAATGTCAATACTTTAATCTTCCCTTTCAATTGCATGTGCAGCTTTGAATGTCCTTAGTTTTAAAAGTTCATTTTTCATCCTCTTTTTTAACCAGTGCTTTACAAGTTTACCATTTTCAGCCTTTTTTTTTTCACTCACAGGTGACTAATGGGTTCTTCACATGGGGAAGCAACTTGTCAACATTATCAGATATAAATATCCGGATTCCCACAGGTAATATGATCTAAAAAAAGTCTGTATGCTTTAGCAAAAAAATAATACAAGAAAGGCCTCAGGACTACTTCTCAAAACACGTCAGTATCACTGCATTTCTGTCATTACCTGCGTCACCTACACGATCACATACTTTACTTCATAGAAATGTGCTCTGAAAGACACTACCTGCACTCATATTCCTGAATTGAAAGTGTACAAGCGAAAATGGCATGTGTAAATAAATGCGGAAACTGAGGCATATTGATGTTTGTGTGTGTGAAGCTAATGAAGCTTCAATGCTTTTTGAACTCACTCTTCATTGGAGTTGCAGAAATGCCAATGTACTCTACTCACTCACTACTGTTTTCCCACACTCTCCTGTACTCACCAACTCCTGTGTACGTGCACTGCTGTCCTCACACTTGTACTTACACACCTCCCTCCTGCCTTTACTCACACAGTTCCACAGTACTGACTACTGTTCACTCACTCCAGTACAGGAGCTCCAGTACTGGTACGCACTGCAGCACTAAAGCCTGTCGGTGCCTGCTATCTCCACCAGGGCACCTGATCATGATTGTGGGGCAGGTGGGCTGTGGGAAGTCTTCCCTATTGCTGGCCATGCTTGGGGAGATGCAGACCATCAGTGGGAAGGTCTACTGGAGCAAGTAAGTATGGCAGTCCCAAAAGATAACAGGAGGTTCTCCATTCTTTTTCATGGCATCTCCTTTAAAATTCTGTTTCACGTACTGTATGATGAAAGTCATTATGACCTGTGATGTTTTGGGCTTTACATTTCATGGATTTCCATTTATTGCTTTAATGATGTGTTCTCTGTGCGATTTATAAAGGCAAATGGTGGCAGATAAAGGCATGCTGGGGATTTTCGTCTAAAAGCAGTTTCATTGACAGGACAACTAATATGTGACAAAGGCATTGTATTCAGATATGAACTCTTTCCAAATGTTTTGTTTTCTTTATTTTTGAGGTTCACAAAGCTAACTGAAGCTGTTTACTTGACACCAAATGCTCAATGATTGAGAATTGATTCTTCTTAACTTGCTCATCCATGTGTTTTTTCTGTTGTTACTTCTTTTTACTTAGTTTTCCTCCTCCTAGCTGACGCTGCCTTCTTACTGTACGCTTCACCCAACCCCAAGGGTGTCTCTGAATGTCATCAGTTTGGTCTTTTCTCATTGTTTCTCTGGCTGGTCTCATTAAGAAAGGTCATCAGCTGCTGGACTTTTTTAAAACCTTGTGCTGTTCATGTGCTTCTGCTAAAAGAACCAGGCAGAGCTTGATGTATGACAGAGAGCTTGCTGGGCTTCTGCAAAATGGCTCAAAAACAAACACACATCTTCTGTTTGCTCTTGTTTAACATCCACTATTAACATTGAGACTTCAGCTTGTTTGTTTTTATAAACCATCCATTCTACATATCTGGATGAACATGCTTCAGATAACTCTCTTCATTTAATAATCAGCTGTCTTCAGCGGGCAGCTTATCCATTCTTCATTAACAGGCTTAGACACCAGATGTGTGTATTGCTAATGTGCATTGTGTGTTGGAATGGACTGAGTTGAGCTAGTGATTAACACTAAATGCAAGCCCTTGATTATTGAGATGTGTAAACTATTATTATACTGTAGTATTATTAATTCAAACGTTAAAAAATAGTATCCTTAGTTACTAAATATAAAAAGAAAAGGCACTTTATTAAATTCTTAAAAATAACAGGATCCAATTAAAGAAATGGAATACGATTGATTGCAAGAATAAGATATGAGAGAGATCAAGAGAGATGGAAACGATGTTAGACAGCCAAGCAGGGTAAGCCAAATGTATTGTGACTAAAACACTCAATAAACCTTCAATTGGCTTCATTCTTGTTATAACTAGTGAAATAATAATGGGACATTTCTAGATAATGAAAGGGAAATGGCTGCTGTACAAAACAAGTGTTTCACTCAGGTGTTCACTAAAGAAAAGGTCAAAAACATGCCTCAGGTGGAGGAGCGACAGAATTATTTATTAAAATGGTACTAGCACAGTTGAGGCAGAAGAGTTTTGAGCACTAGAATAGCTTAAGACAAAACTCTACAGGGCCCAATGATCGATATGGAAATAAGATCCTAGCGGATAGTCTACATGGATTTAGAAAAATTAGATCTTGCCTAACTAATCCATTAGGGTTCTTTGACCAAGAAACAACAGCAATGGACACACCGATATTTCACCAAGATTAATTCTAAAATGATGTGTACAATAGTAGGCATTTAAGGAAATGTATGTGTTTGGATAAATAATTGGTTAATAAATAGAAAAGATATAGGGGACAGATAAGGGGGGAATGCTGAAATGGGAAATGGGAAACGGGGTGATGTAATTAATGGAGCAGCACATGGATCTGTACTAGGACCACTGCTCTTATTTATATACTGTACAGTATCTCTAAATTCTGGCGTAGTTTGTAAACTAGTGAAGTTTGCAGATGATACCAAAATAAGAGAATTATGGTTAATCTACAGTAGTGAATTTTTTATTTGGCTTTATCAAATACTGTAGAAAAAGCAAATAAAATTCCTAAAGCTTTTGATAAAATTCAGTACTGCACAAGCACCTGGCAGATGACATTTAATGTATACAAGTTCAGAATCTTACATGCAGTAGCATAGTTATAAATATAGTAGATAGAGCGCTAGCTATCTTTTCTTCAATTTACTTGATTGTGGCCTGATTTTTGTCTAAAGTATCCATAAGCAATTTAGGATGAGCAAACACAGATGGGACACTATCAGACACTCCCAATTACTTACGTTCCACACACATGAATGAGGGTAAGTGTGACATTTCTGAACTTGTTCATGGTCACTACTTACTGACCCCATAGAAAAAAGGTCTTGGTCAACTAGAGATCAGTTCGCCTGATTGGCTAAGAGGTCATATGGAATGAAAACCGGACCAGGTTTCAGAACCATTGGTCTAAATCTGCTCAGGAGACAGAAGGAACAACCCCCTCTGTAAGGATATTACACCACTGTGCATTTTTCATACTAATAAAAAAGCAACATTGCACTGTCTGCTTCTGGGCATTTGTTTTTTGTCCATATTTCACATTATACTTCTAAATAATCACATGAGAAGATTTAGATTTTTTAACTCAGGGAAGGCAACTCTAGTCCTCGAGTGCCACATTTGTTTCTGGTATTTAATTGCATCTCAGATCTTGGTGACGCAGCTGAACTTATTAAGTGGATAAAATGTCAAATTAGCTGTATTCCAGGTCTTAACTGGGTACTAATTTAAAACCTGCAGGAACCCACTAGAGTTGTGGACTAAAGTTGCCCATTCCTGCTATAAATCTTCACAGTAACGGTACTGACCTGACGTAGTGTCTTCTATTTAGTGGGCACACTGTCCTGTCACACACTGATGTTGTTGCACATACTGCTACCTGCAGTGTTCCTTATTATTTCTTTACATTACGTATCTCTAATTATATTTATGCTACACTTTAATTACCCATACAGTATATATAATAGGTTTATTCCATGCTGAAAAAAAGAAAAAAAACACAACGCTTCGGCCGTGGAGCCTTCTTCAGGTGTATATATTACGTGTTAACATTGTAAAGATTCCATAATAAGGTTGAAAAAATACTCCTGCAAAAAAAAATAATAATTTCATTACACAGCTGTGTTTTTTAACAGCTGCTCCTAGTGCAAAGATTTATTTGGCCTATCTTCTTTTGTTCAAAATGGAGGATAATAAAGGGTTTGTTTTGATGTTTCCAAATTTTATGAATGCATATGCACTCAATGTCATTTACCAAGCTGTCACTGGGTAATTGTAGTGTATCTAGATGTTATTAGAGAAATTGAAACCAGCGTTCACATTATGCACCTTTCACTAACAATAGTCAATGTGTATGTTCTGTTTCTCGTTTCGTCTGCTGTCGAAACAGACTGCCTGAGCATGAGATGCACCACGAAGGGAACTTAAGGTATTTATTGCCTAATGGGACCCTTGTTTTTGTTTCTTTATTTTACTTTTTTAAATCTCTCACTCACATGATTATAATGTAATTTTAAGTCACTGCTCACTACTTTTTGTGTATTTAACTTAACATATTTTACGAACATGTAATATCCATATCAAGTAGTAGAGGCATTATTATATTTTTTACTTAAAGTATAGATACTTTAATTATCAGGCTCAATGTGATATTAAGGTTCTATAAGGTTCTATACTGTGAATAGCTTAGAGTATTAATTGTTGTTTTCCATTGTGAATCTTTTTGGATATGCTGCTGGAAAACTATAAAAGGACAATTTAATATTGTTGTATTGGTTTTCAATGTTCAATATACTTTCACTGTGTGTCACGGATGTCAGAAGGGCATGCCATGGAATGACGAGGAGAGCAGTAGAGGCCCAATGTGTAGTGGCAAAAGGGGTAATACGGAGGTTAGCCCAGGCTCAGGGGGGTCAGACGATATCGGGGTAGAAACCTATGCCCTCAGGCCACGGACGTGGGGCGACCTGGTGCTAGGCGGGTCTCACGACATCTGTACCCTCAATGCTGAGCCAAGAGCAGAGCAGAAACAGGTAGTAAATAGGCTACACAACAAGACCCACCAGAAAGACATGAATAATCACAGGGAACTAGGAACAGGACAGAAGTAGCGTGCCCTCTAGGTGTACAGGGCGTGACACTATGCTGTTTGCCTATGAGTGGTAATAATCCAGTATGAAACTGTAAATAGATTAATTATACAATACAAAGCTGAAAGCAGTCACCTAGTTTTGCATTAAAAGTTCCTGTTATTTCTCTTTATGGTGTATGTACAGTAGAATAAGCATAGGTGTCTTAAATATAATTTATCCCAACTAAATTATATTTAATTTATCCCAACTAGTCTTAATTCTGATGTATATCTAATATTTTAAATATAGTATTGACATACTGATAGGATCATTACATTATGACAAACTTATGACTTGGATTTCAGTTATGTGCCATGGTGCCATGGCATTTTGAACAAAAGCAGGATAACTATTTTATACAAATGCAAAAACATTCAGGATTAGATTGTCAAGCATTTGATTCTGAACTGTAGTTTTTTTAGACAAAAGTGTTTCATGATTAAGTTCAAGGTAAAGGGAGGTATTTATTGCATTCAAATGTTTTTTGTTCTGTTGCTTCAGTGACTCACGACTTTGCAGTGATGGAATCTAGTAATGGCACGCAGACAGCACTTAGTGTACTGGAAAAATGTCATTTGTGCAATTGGCTGATTTTGTCAACACTGTCTCCCCATGATTTATCATTATGACCTACTGTAAATCATGCAAAATGTTGAGCCGAGAGCAAAGCATCCAAGGCTTTCAATCATGTAGGATAATCACTTGCGTTCTTTTACAAATGGCATTTTTTTAAATTGTGTTTAAGATTGCTCAGTTACTGTAGAAAAAACATTTAGAAAAAAGTCTGTCTATCTTTTCTAGCTTTTGCAAAAATAGTTATTTTTGAGGTAAACTTCTGATCTCCAAAGCCAGTGTCATGAAAGTTGAGAAGTGAACTTCTGTTGCCACACCAAATGAATGGCCTTCAGTTTCCGTGACCTGGCTTTTCCTTGGCTTTTTCCCTGAAGTTGTGACATCAACGGAAGTATCGCACATGTCCGCTACTGTGACTACAGCCACTACAAAGGGCAGGATGTAGACAGAGACTTATCTAAAGTCTAATTGATTTTCCTTTGAAATAAAAAAATAAACGTAAACCTTGAAGATGGTGGAGCGTTGCTTTTAACAAGACAAAAGGAGCAGAGCAAAACAGGTACATGTTTAAGATAACTCAGCGGCCAAGGGCGTCCACCCTTAACTGGCTTTGAAGACTGCTGGCATCTCTGAAACATGTCTCTGTCCAGTAGAATCCACCTAATATTATTTACATGACTTGCAGTGTACATGAGACGGAGCTGTCTTTCGAAGCCGACAGGAGGTACCTTTTAACCTTTATCTTCAGAAGTAAAGCTGAGTCTCAACATAAACCCTAAGTCCTTCCCCCAGCTCCAGTAATTGTCCTCCTGTTGTGTATGTGGTAGCTGGTAGTGTGTTTGGGAATGTTTATGCATACATGCTGGGAGTCTGTCTCTTAGTTTAAGAAGTGAATCAGTTTATAGGGTGAAGTCCTGCTTGAATGTATAATGTAAGTTTGGCTTTTGTAAGTGGCTGCCTGGGATTTTCCTTGATGTACAATTCCCATATGTATGAGAAATTGTTGTACTGTAAGTACCTGGAATGACCTATACAGCCATAATGTCAAAGGTTTTTTTTTAAACCCACCACCACCACGCCAACGTTGGAGGACTTCTTTATTTATTTTTTTTCCCTGTCGAAGTTGATACCCTGGTTTCATTCAGGAAATGGCTGGCTGACATCATCAGTTACCTGCTTAGCAACCCAATGAGCTAGATGGGCCCGATGGCCTCCTCTTGTTAGTAACTTGTACTGTATGTTCTGATTTTGTACAAAAATAGAAAGAAATAATACATATTCATATAGCATAGATTAGTAGATAATGTAATAAAAGAAAATATCTATATATATATTGTATAAGTGGGAATTGTATATAAATGAAATTCAAATACATTATCCTTTCTGTTTTTAATAGTTCCTCCACTAAACTGGAATGGTTCTATTTTGAACTGTTTGTGGAAACATACAGTCCTAATTTGGTCTGGTCCAATATTGGAGAAGTGTACGAAACATTGCCCAATTGCATAGCAATCAGTATATATTAACCACAGTCCAATCAGATGATCAGATTCATTTCCTGATTGACCTGAGTTAGACTATGGCTCCCAGCATTTTGCTGTTTTGAGGAAATGCAGCCCATGATTAACAAGTCTGGTACCTAGTCATTATGCTCACTAGGTCTGCCCTTCTACTCCTTTCTCATCGTGATTTGTCTTGGATTGATGTCTTCCTCAGAAAAAACATTTTATCCTATTTCCGCCTATCTCCCAGTTTTTTCTAATGTTTTTTTAAACTTCAAACAGCAAAAACCGGAACTCAGTGGCCTATGCTGCCCAGAAGTCATGGCTACTGAATGCGACAGTGGAAGAGAATATCACGTTTGGAAGCCCTTTCAACAAGCAGAGGTAAGTCTGTGCAAAGCTAATAGTCATTTAGGTTGCAACCTCTAAAATATTTTCAGAGAAAGAATAAACAGACAAGCATGATGTGATTGTGTTTTTTTGCTGAGTTAAATGGAGTCTATGAGGGAGCCCATGTGTTAACTGCCTTCCACAAAACTCCCCAAATTACCCTCTCATAAAAGCCACATTTGTGATATACTGTATCTCATTGGCTGCACAATGCACACAGTGGAGTAAACAGGTTGTCTTTCATTGTGCAGAGATAAAATGTGTCTGTATGCTACAATACTAAAGTGACTACCATAAATATAATATGTTCATACAGCATCAAAGGCTGCCATTGTAGAGGGTTCATAACGTCTTATACTGGCAATATACATAATAATTTCTAAAGAACTCGCACCTTTTTGTTCCAATGTCAAGATGAAATCCTAGTTGAACACGTAAAAAGGGACTGTGCATGTTGTCATTGTTTTGTTTTTTTCCAAAACTTTGTCAACATGACTACATGTCTACGTGACATTGCGAGATATTGCATTGGAGTAGCCCTGGTGATATGTCATTGTTTCTGTAAGTTTGAAATCTCCGCTTTACATTATGTGGCTTTGGACATTACAAGACATTTGAAGGAGTGCTGTTACAGCTGGTCTCTGGACAAAACAGCCAAAGCTAACAGAGAAAAGGACAACACCGTACAGTAAGTCAGTGTGACTGAGCCAATGTTGCATCCTGTTGTTACAGGTACAAAGCAGTCATAGATGCTTGTTCCCTGCAGCCTGATATAGACCTGCTGCCATTCGGGGACCAGACAGAAATTGGAGAAAGGGTAGGAATCAAGAGTTCTGCTGACTCTGATATTTCTTTTTGGCTGCTTACCCTGATTTCAGAGAACAAATAAGCAAACTCCATACAGTATATCCTTTTATGTTTTTATGAAAGCTCTTGCTTAGGGCAATAAATGCATTGTGATCAAGTAACTAGTTTCTTGGCACATTTATTCTGGCAAGCATCCACTGAGTGGTGTCTTTCTTAAGCAAATTTCTAGTCTTTAATTGCTCACAATTAATTGCTTTAATTGCTGTTTACAATGCATAAGGTTAGCATGTACTGTAGTAGAGGATTTTGTTTTGGTTTTGGTGTGTTTAATGTCTACAGTGACTCGTAACTTTTTCTTGTCTCTCAGGGGATTAATCTGAGTGGGGGCCAAAGACAGAGGATCTGTGTGGCACGGGCTCTTTATCAAAACACAAATATTGTCTTTCTGGTAAGATTTCTGTGCTTGTCTGCCGTTATGGATAGGGGGAACAGTCAAGAAGGTGGAATATACGCAGCCTAAGTATTGAACCTGCAGAAAAAATGCAAAGCTGAGGAAAACATTCTCCTCTACTTTAAGTGCCTTTGTAATCAAAAACAATTTTCAGATTGTGGATTAACTATGATAAATCTGCCATTGCTTATACTGTCAAAGACCTAGATAAAATTAAAACTTGAAACCACATTCCACCTGCAAATCGGAAAAGTGTCACATTTGTACTTTTAGTTTTTCCCCGAATACTTTTCCTTTTACCCCATAAAAAATGTCCTTCCAGTGGGGAATATGTAACTTGTGGTTGCCTATGGGCTGAAGTTAAACTATATTATTGGAGAACTGCCATTAGTTTAGTATTGCACTGCTGGAGTTTTTTTCTCATTTTTTAAACAGTGACCATAGTTGTCAAGGATCCTAGTACTGTTCTGGGTACCTTGAGTTTAAAAGACTGTACATACAGTTGCAAGAAGTTTGTGAACCCTTTGGAACAACCTGGATTTCCGCATTAATTACACATAAAAATGTGGTCTGATCTTCAACTAAGTCACAATAATAGACAAACACAATCTGTTTAAACTAATAACACACAAACAATTGAACTTCTTCTTGTCAGTACCGAACACATCTAGGTTGGAAAAAGTATCTGAACCCGTGTATTTAGTAACTGGTAGAACCTCCTTTAGCAGCAATAATTCAAAATAATTCACAAGTCATCTTCATCCTGCCGATGCCCACACCACAAGCTCAGAATCGGGAGCGCTTGTTACAATCTAAAAACGAGATCATTCTGAAATACGGATGCTGAATAGTGGGTACTGGGGCAAGGGGCAGGGAGGGGCTCCCTCACTAGCTAGATTCTTCTTCTCATCTGTTGCACAGCTAATCTGGAAGTTACTCTTATCAATCTTCAGATCAGTTTCATTCCTCTCTGCTCTTATTCCATCCAAGGCCCCAGATCTTGCCTAGAACAAGTTGAGAATAAGCAAATTCACGAATGTGAAATGCGCAGATGTCAATACCCTGTTGGATATTCTTGTATAATTACTTAGCTTGGTTTTGCCAGATGGGTTCCAAATGTACAATATAATATATTAAGGATTTAATGCCTCTCTGTATCTACAGTGTCTATGTACAGTATGTGTGTGCATAGTTGCACAGCATGTTAAAAAAAGTCACAGCAAGCATCTGTGTCTGATATCTTGATGTTGCAGTGTGGGGGACCACCAAAGTGGGGAGCCTGGGTCTCTGGCCCCCATTCACCAAGCCATAGGGACATCTCTGATTCTTTGAACAATGTTAGTGACCTTGGTTCCATAAAAGCAGAGCACTGTTGTTGACTCTGGGTTGACTCTCACTTGCTGTTGTCTCCAACAATCGCCACCTCTCTTTTTCTCATGGCTGACTTTACCAAAGTCCAGACACCAGTATCAGTATCAGTGATGGTGGTTTCCTAGGAGTTGCTGCCTTGCAAATTAAATACAACTTGGTGACAGACTAGATTCCTTGATAAACAACAGCTGTTAAATCATCTGAACTCTATCACTTACGTAGCTCTAGCAAACACAGGAAAGATGAAAAAAGGAAACCTACTTGAGGGACAGTGTAGGTGATCTAATCAGTGGTGGCTGCACTGTTGTTCTAAGAGGACACCAGCTGGATCGCTTTTTCATTAGAAAGACATAAGAAAAGTCTGGGTTGTTTCATGTTTTGTGGGAACGTGAGGGCTGCAGAAAAGCAGATGGGATGGATCAGGGACCCGGCCAAGGCTGCTGGGTTTGCTCTACAGCCTGATATGATGGAGCCAAAAGCATTCAAAAGGAACATTTCTCCCTTTGGCTGCAGTAAAGAGTGTTGTACTTCCAATAACAAAGTCAGTCATTGTGCTTTGCTAACTTTCACACAATTTATTTTGTGAATAAACGTGCGTGAGTAAGTTTATTCTTATTCCAAATAGTCCTTACAGACAACAAAAAATTAGAACCTAAATGACCAACATAAATGAGAACCTACTATACATAGTAAATTGAAATATACAGAATATTTCCCTGAAGACCATTCAATTGTTTCAATCTACAGCTATCTAATTACACAATTTTCAATACTGTTTCAGTACTGGTTGTTGAATGTCTCTCTGCAGAGCTGGCTTACTTAATTTGGCTTAAAGCTCTTGGCAAAATAAGGTGCATTGTCTCAGGTACTGTGAAATATTTTAAGATATGATTAAAGTGAAGCTTTTGATTTAGATTAAAATCTTATATCCTGACAATTCAAAATGTCAAAAGATATAATGTAAATATACATTTGAAGAGATCAGTTAAGACATGTACACTTTTTATCAATGTAGAAAGCCAAAAAGCTAGAGAACAAGTAAAGGTTTATTCCATGCTGAAAAGAGAAGAAAGGAAACACAATGTTTCAGCTGTGGAGCCTTCTTCGGGAGCCTTCACCGGATAAAGGCTCCACAGCCAAAATGTGTTTCTTTTCTTCTCTTTTCAGCATGGAATAAACCTTTACACATTCCTTTGCAGCCTGCGTATGCTGACGAAGCTACTTACTTGAACTACAAAAAGCAAGGGTACTGTTTTGTAGTGCAAAGACAGGACCAGCACATTCTGACTCTCTCTCTCCTGTGTCAGGATGATCCTTTCTCAGCTCTGGACATTCACCTGAGTGACCACCTCATGCAGGAGGGAATTCTGAAGTTCTTGCAGGATGACAAGAGGACAGTGGTACTGGTGACGCACAAGCTGCAATACCTCATACACGCAGACTGGGTAAGTCCTTAACAACTTACACGAGCAGGGCTGAATGTATGAGCTGCAATAACTGTCTAATGGTATAAAGACATCTGTTTAAATATTACCCACCCGTCTCATGAACATGTTGTCTCTGAAACAATGTGCTAGTATATCATATTTGTCGAAAGGTTCGCAAACACCCCTAAAGTGCTTAAAGTGTGGCACCCACTTAGGTGACAAGAAGCATCCAAGGGTGACATTAGGCCACCTAAATATCAATTAAGGTGGAAAATTAGGAATGCCAGATTGTGCAAATCCAAAATGGAATTTAATTAGGAAACTGGGGTTAATGTCACCACTCTTTTATGTATTCAGAACCACAGATTATCATGGCACAGTGTCCCTTGTTACCCTACTGGGATCTTTGTTTGCGAATTCTGCTTCAGAGAAGAGTGGTCCACTTATTTCCCTGATTATTGGAGAATCAAGGAACCTGATTTTACCTTGAGATGTCAAAACCCATTGCTAACAAGGTCAGCCTTTGCTTGGTTTCTGAGATCTGAAAAGATCAGGCTACAAGCAGGTCACTATTGAATCTGTGTACATAAGATGAGTACTGTATAAGAAAGACCTTTCTTACTGTATAAGAAAGACCATTAATATGAACTTCATTGCATTTACTGTATACAGTCAGGTGTTTCTGTAGTGGAATCTGCTTGTG